ATCACAAAGCTCTCTTTATACAATATATTCACCACAGGTATCGCTTGATACTGTCTTCATTTACAGATTGTGCTTTTCCTGAGTATCTGTGATGGATCTGTCATTGAGCTAAGCAGCTTCACATATTATCTCAGTCTTCAAAATAACAGGAAAATAAGAATTCCATTTAAGAATGAGAATACTGAGTTGAAAAATTGGTTTACTCAAGCTAACAGAGAATGGCAAAGTACTAAGAATTACACCGGGTTTCTCACCCAACATCCAAAAAGCTTTTGAATATAACAAATTACTTGCAAAAATTCCAAATAAAAATTGTCAAATGAGAAGGAGTCCCATGTATTAGAAGCTTATGTAATTTTTTTCACTTTGAACATTAACCACAAGGAGGTAAGAAAGCCTCGAGTAAAAATTTAAAAACTGACATAAAATGTTTTCCTACAGAAACACAAATTAAGAATGGGAGCAAAGCAACATGTAAACACATGAGGAGTTGGCTTCATCACACAGCATCTAACACAGAAGAATCACCTTCCCCCAGTGAAGTAACCACTTGTATTCAGTTATACTCCAGTGTTTCCTCCACTCTTTGCTCATTTTGTCATTTTGTAACATCCCATTATACATTATAAAAAAAAAAAAAAACTGACTTGTTTCTAACTGCTAAGTTGTACACTGGGAGCAGAGGCTATTTTATCAATGGAAATAGTGCCTCACATGTGGTTAGCACTTAATATGACCCTGTTTCCAGGTATCACCCCCATCATTTCTCTCTGCTTCTATCACATACACTTACACACATATAGCCCTCTAAATCCCCAGGCAACACTTATTTATTTGGGGTTTTCATTGCTAATTCATGGAAAGAAGCATAGTAAACAAAATAAACCTGACAGAACTGATTATTTTTAAAAACTGCAAAAAAGTGCAGGTTTTTATTTTTTATTGACAAGTATACAAAAGTATCAATGCTTCTGAATCGATACTTTTATATATATATTTTGTAAATATGCAAGTCTCTATATTGCTAGCTGTTTAACTCCTTTGATAAGGTCTCTGACCTTATTCTCAGTCTTTGGTCAACTAATAGGGCCATTCAAGAGCCCCCGCGGATTAAAAGTGAGATGTGCCCGCATTTCCAAAGAAACACAGATTGGCATCCCCTGCGTAGTGCTCTGCCCTTTGGCTGAAAGGGAACCATCAAGTCAAGTCACTCTTGCCACCTCCAAGGAGCTACAGTCAAGGGAAGGGGACAATANAAGGAGCTACAGTCAAGGGAAGGGGGCAAAATATGCCCCTGCTATGCTAATATTACAGGTTAATGTTACACGTAAGTAATCCTGACATTGAGATGGGGTGAGATCGTGACAGGCGAAGAGGAAAAATGCCTGAGCTGGAAGAAAGCATACTGAGAAGAGCAGCGCAAAGGCGCATTCTCGAGAAGGCGCGGTGAATGGGGGAGCGGGTGCTGGGAAGGAAGCAGCAGTAGTACAAAAGTGAAGTCAGTGAATGGAAAAGCTGACTAGGGCGGAACTGTGAAGGCCTTGAAGGCCATGCTTAGGAGTCTTCATTTTTTCTCAGTTATCAACGGAATAAAACACAGCATGTTACTCCTGCTTGAAGTATAAAAGCTCAGAGTGGTTCATAACAATTGACACAGCCTTCTTGAATAATCTAGCAGAGTCACAAAGACTCTATAAAAGACTCTATAAAGTCTATAAAACTAGACCAATTTAGGAAAGAGGGAGAGTAAACTGTATATACAGAGAGTCCTCTTTTCTTTTGTTTTCCATCATAATGGCACAGAAGTGTCCCCAAAGGTTAGAGTATATTTAGTGCTACTATAAAACCCATCCAAGAAGTTAATTTAAAATGGAGAAGTCTCTACACAATTCATACATTTATTTAAAAGCTCCTGGTAGAAATCCAAAGTTGCACACCAAACTGTTGCAGGCTGGAGGAGGGAGTGTAGATAAGGGAACTTTAACTGTCTCAAAATCTTTACGCAGTGTTTGAATATTTTATTGCACCTGTAACTTAGAAAAATAAGGTAATTAAAAAATTTTTATATGGATGCAACCCAAAATTACTGTGTTGCTTATAGTCCAGGATTGATATTTCTAGACAGTATAAAAACAAGGTTCTAATTACACTTCTCTAAGATTTTCTTATAAGTCTGTTCCCTGGCTGGACTTAAACTGTGTTAGACTGGAATCATATTTGATTGAGAAATGTTTAATTTCCTCTTTCAAAGGCTGTGTCATTCTACTTAAGCATCTTCCGGGTTCTGTGCCTCCTAGCTAAACTGAAGGTAGTAGTCTAAGGTCTTTAAAAGTCTTCACGAGGATGATAAATACGTAGAGAAAAGAGAAAAGGAGACAAGGAAAAATTTATATTCTACATAGGACTACTGATATTTGAGAAGAACCTGGGCAACATTTTAGCAGAAATGCAAAAAGAATTCAAACGTGACAAAGAGCTTGGACTTGTGAGGTCCCTTCTCTGATTCTAAACACATGTTTCATTCTAATAACTAAGCTGCTTTTACAAGCTGCATGCTCAGTCATGTCTCACTCTTTGAGACTTCATGGACTGTAGCCTGCCAGGCTCCTCTGTCCATGGGATATTTCAAGCAAGAATACTGGAGTAGGTTGCCACTTCCTTTCTCCAGGAGATCTTCCTGACCCAGGGATGGAACCCGTGTCTCTTGCATCTCCTGCATTGGCAGGAGGACTCTTGAGCACTGTGCCACCTGGGAAGCCTGCTTTTTACAGGATACAGAATACAAATTTATCTCATTAAGAGTTTAGCACTACTTTTGAGGACACAGTGCTACCAAAATAACTAGCTATAAACAGCCTCCAGATATGAAGGCCTTGAGGGTTTCTGAGGAACTTGAAACAACTTTTCAAGTAAATGTATAAATTATTAGAGTATTCTAATTGGACACATTATATAAACACCAAAATCTTAGACTTAATTCTGTCTTACTTCTAGTGTTATTTGAACTATTTTATATTTGAAACAGGTCAATTGAAAAACTAAATTTATTTCACACCAAATTTCATATTTGACTGTTACAATGTATCATGTTAGCATTTAGGGAGGTAGGGATTAGCAGTCATTAGTGTAAAATCTATTTTAAAGTAAAACAGTTGTTACTAACTGATTTAAGCAGGAAGAAAATGGTAACTAAAATACTTAGGTTTTAATGAGGAGGCATGTTGTGTATCACTATATATTTCGGTCTGCAAATATCAAAAAGTTCAGTTTTTCATCTATTCCAGTAGGAGGAGGAGAAAGTGCAACTTTTTTTTAAATACACAAGAAAAATGAATCTTGACATTTAGAAGATTATCACTAGATACTGGTTCTTTATGTATTTATAAAAGGATGTCTGATGGTCTCAAGCATAATTCAAATTTTTATTTAGCATGTGTGGGTCCCTGATGAAGTCTGTTAGGAATCCTTGAATTGAACAGAACTGATCAACAGACTAAACTCTTAAAAAACCACATGCTGAGGTCTATACTGAACAAGATGTGAGATATACAACTTCAGAAACACCAGAAAGTTCAGACCCATTTTTTAAAATTTAAGAAACTTATTATACAAATTACTTCAGCCATATATGTCGTATTGCATGGGACATGTTACACGCTTTTAACCAAAATTTAAAAAAACAAAAACAAAACACTGTAGGTAGAATTATTTTTTGAAGAGGTAAATGACTGTGTTATATTGTTTTGAGTCTGTTTCCTAGCCTGCACCTACTGACATATGATGTAAAATTAAATATGTATCATGACAAAACCATACGTTTAGACAACTGTGGTGAAGTAAGAACACAGTGGGGAAATGACTGTTCTGAATCAGTGAAAATTTTAAATGAAGCCCATTGTAAAAGTCAAAGATCAGCAAACCATTATCTGGAAAAGCAGTCTTTCTTTTCTAGGAAACACAAATACTGATTTAAACAGAGGCCCTGGCTTCTAGTTCCCACCCCCCAAACCTCCAACTGGGGCAAGTTCAGAGTCATCAGGCATTAACAGTAAGGCAACTGCAAATTCAAAATAGTAGCTGGTGGACAAGAGGGTATAAGCAACAGCACTAGGGGGTAGTAAAAAAGACAAAATAATGCCTTCCCACTCACTCCAACCCATCCACAACAAGAAAACAAGAGGGCTGGGTATAAGGAAAACCAAGAATTAAGCTCTATTTCACCCCCCCCCCAAATTGGAGAACAAAAGGAAAATTAACAATTTTTTCCCACAGTTGCTATTTTTGTGTAAGACTTCAAAAAATTAAATAAAAAGGGGGTTCTACTTTTGTTTGTTTTACAAATTTAATCTACAAATAATCCATTCTCTACAGAGAAGGAAAGGAACAGAAAGACAAAAAAGATTAGCCACACACTTAAGCCCAGTCAAAGTTGGCAAGAATGTTATCTCCGGTAAGGCTTCTCCAGTAACAAATGTGTTACTTTTCATGCTCAGCTTTCAATTATCCTGGGGAAGAACGCGAAACACAAAGTTGCACTGCCTGTCCAAAGAGTAACACCAATCTGTCTGCAGAGAAGGTCTCCGATTTCTAAGAGCGCACTTTTGAGTTCCAGCATGACCATCTCCTCTCAGACCAAGCTCCAGAAACTGTCAACCGCCTGCCCTACTTAAATGTCCATCTGCACCGACTTCGCCAAGCACGAGACAGACAGTTTCAGAAGCTGGGAGCGGTTGATCCTACTTGTGGCCACAGAACCGCGTTCCTGAAGCTATACCTAGAGACTCGGGGTGCCCGCACCGAAGCATCGGGCCAAACCCCGGAGCGCGACCATGAACGTGGCGGGCGAGGATGGGGTGGCGGCACGTGTTCCCAGGTTCGGACCTGCACCGGCCGGGAGACACGGGGCGGGTCGAGGCTGGGAGATGCGCCCGCGACCCCCCACCCCGCCGCCGGGCCCCCCGACAGCGGCAGAGGCGGCGGCCCGCGCGCGGGGACCTCACCTGCACCCCGGTGTAGTTCTCGAAGAAGAAGAGCACCATGCTCTGATAGACGCAGTAGAGCCGGTCGTCCACCGCCTGGTAGAAGCGCGAGGGCAGCAGGGCGGAGAGTAGCCGCCAGGCGCCCCAGGCCAGCACGTAGGTGGGCGCCGTGCCCAGGAGCACGGCGGCCGGCAGCACGCAGCGCACCGAGTGCATGTGGAGCACCAGGGACAGCAGCATCCTTCCGTCTCCGCGCGCCCGGCGCTCCGCTGTTAAAACGCAACGGCTGCCCAGCCGCGTGGACGGCCCTGTTCAGGCTACTGCGCATGCTCCAAAGGTCTCCCAGCTCCGCCCCCCTCCGGGGGCGCGCGCGCTGGGGCGACGCGGTGACTGGCTGTAGGGACGAGGTGCGGTTGGTCCGGGCCGGTGAGGGGCCCGGGTGGCCGTGCGCCCCGTGGTCGGGCTCTGGGCACAGGTGGGCTTGCGGAGACGCCCCACCACCTGCTTGCACGTCCGAGGGCCCCTGGACGCCGGGATACGCCCTCGAGCCGAGACATCCCCTTCCCCTGGGGCGCACAGGTGAAGCTCGGCACCTAGAAGGTGCTGCACACCCTGGCTGCCCGGCTGACAGATTGGTCAGGCCGGCTGGGTCAAGGCCAGCAGGAGACAATTGGGGTAGTTACAGAAGAGTCCCAGGGGCTCTCGGGGCTCTCGCCCTGGGTTCTACAATCAGGCTGCGCTTCCTTTTCACGGCGGCGCCCACCCGCTCGCTCGCCTCGGCTCTGCCTCTGCTCCCCGCCGGGTGCCCAGGACCCTGCTTCCTGCCCTCCACTCGCCCTCTAGCGTGTGTCCGAATCAGGTTCCCTTCTTTCTCATCACTGTACGTTCACGCATAGCTGGACAGCCTTTTTACAAGGTTCATAGGTTTGTCTTATCAGATTCACTCTTATTCTTTTTTTTAATTGTTTGGATGCCAAATTTTATTTTTAAACTTTTTATTTGATATTGCTGTATAGCAGATGAACGGGCTTCCCTGGTGGCTCAGATGGTAAAGAATCCGCCTGCAATGCGGGGAGACCTGTGCTCTGATCCCTGGTTAGGAAGATCCGCTGGAGGAGGGCATGGCAATCCACTCCAGCATTCCTTCCTGGAGAATCCCCATGGAGCCTAGAGGACTACAGTCCATGGTCCAAAGACTCGGACAGGACTGATAAGCACAGCACAGCACGTAGCAGATTAACAATGTTGTGATAGTGTCAGATGGACAGCAGAGGGACTCAGCCATGCATATACATGGATCCTTTCTCACCCAAACTCCCTTCCCTTCTAGGCTTATCAGATTCACTCTCGCTTCACTTTCCCAGGCCTGGCTGTTTAATGTCTTCCTGATAGCTTATGCTTAGCCTCGTTTTTTGTGTAGTTCTTGAAGGTACTTGCATGGTGGTGGTGGTTCAGTCGCTTCAGTCGTGTCTGACTCTTTGCAGCCCCATGGGTTCCTCTGTACACAGGATTCTCCAGGCAAGAGTACTGGAATGGGTTGCCATGTCCGCATGGACGTGTGGAATAAAGTACTAATGTACTTCTGTGACCTTCACAAAAATCTAAGACATCAGGGCAGCTGTTTTATTGTTATGAAAACAGATTCCGAGGCCTTCTGAATTCTTCTACCGTCCTTTGACTACAGTGAGTGTGGTTTACTGTGTAATCCTTTAAGTGAAAAAAGGAAAAACTTTTTTTTTTCTGAATGCAAGCCGGTGAAAGTGTCTGACTCTTTGCAACCCAAAAGACTGTAGCCCACCAGGCTCTTCTGTCCATGGAATTCTCTAGGCAAGAATACTGGAGTGGGTTGCCATTTCCTTCAATAGGGGATCTTCCTGACCCATTGATTGAACCCAGGAAAGCCCAGCCAAGTGCATTTAGTGGCATTTCAGTGGAAAATTGTAATCCGATCCAGAACAGTGGCTACCTGATTTGACTGTCTGCACATAGTTGACATGTAACATGACTGGTAAATGGTCACCCTGAGGGACAAAGCCAGATGAATGGAAATTGCTCAAGGAACAAGTGTTTGCACAGGTATATTGCCAGCAGGTAAGCATCCACAGTACAGAGATTTTCAACAGGATTTTCAGTCTTTTCTTTTTTTAAAAAAATATGGAACACTTCATGAATTTGCATGTCATCCTTGCACAGGGGGCATGCTAATCTTTTCTGTATCATTCCAATTTTAGTATATGTGCTGCCAAAGTGAGCGCTCCCCTCTTTCTGTGGAAAGCAATGCCCAGTGAGAACTAGATTCGTCCTGGAGGGAAAAATTCATGGATATGGAAAATGTGCACAATCAGTGTCCCCATGCTTCCTTGAATTAAACGAGACCAGACATCTGTACAATTAGGGAAATGTATGAAGGGATAAGCTTCCCTGGTGATTCAGAAGGCAAAGAATCTGCAATGGAGGAAAGCAACAGAAAGAAATCTTCCCAGTCCCTGGGTTGGGAAGATCACCTGGAGAAAGAAATGGCAATGCTCTCCAGTGTTCTTGTCTGGAGAATCCCATGAACAGAGGAGCCTGGTGAGCTATAGTCCATGGGGTCGCAAAGAGTCGGACACGACTGACTAAGCACACAGACATGAAGGGATAAAACTGGTTCAGTGTTAACATTACAGTCTGTACACATGAAGTCAGTAAATGTGTGTGACATGTGTAAATACGTTACTTCTTCTGGATTGTCCCTATATTACTGTTGGTCACCAGGTTGTAAAGTTTTGTGCAAGTTCTGGCATAGGGACACTGAGAACTTGAGCTGCCATTTATATCCAAACTCGGCTCCTTCCCACTTGATTATCCCCTGTGTTCTGCAGCCTCCTTATCAGCAGACTCCCAGTCACAAACTTACTCTCCTTTCCACCTGCCCACCTGTTAGGCTGTACTCAGTCCACACCTTCTGCCTCTACTTCCTTACCTTGTACATATTTTAACCCTTTGCAGTGGGGTGAGTTTTATGTAAAGGAGGAATTCATGGTACCATAGGGACATATAATAAGGAGGTCTCATTTAGTCTGGGCACATAGAAGCCTTCTCAGGTAGAGTTGACATGAAGCTCTAGGGTGAGCTTGCCAGGGTAAAGCTAGGGATTAGAAGGAAGAAGCACCTTCCAAGTGAGAACATGTCTGAAGGACTGAAGTTAAGAGCTAACAGGTTCTCAAGGCTGAGGAAAGCTGTGTGCAGCAAGTAATATGCCCTACTTTTTTTAAAATTCAGATGCCCCCTAGAAGTATGTTGTTTATTTCCCTCACTTGTTTTTAAGCTAACATCTACAGTTATTTTTATCATAAGTTTGATCAGTTAAAAAGTAAGTTCCCATGAGTTGTGAATAAAATTTTTAAATTAAATGATTACAGAATTCTTTTAAGTGGACCCCATGGGTTGGCTCAGTGGGTAAAGAATCTGCTTGCACACTATGGAATATTACTCAGCCATTAAAAAGAATTCATTTGAACCAGTTCTAATGAGATGGATAAAACTGGAGCCCATTATACAGAGTGAAGTAAGCCAGAAAGATAAAGACCATTACAGTATACTAACACATATATATAGAATTTAGAAAGATGGTAATGGCAATCCACTTCAGTATTCTTGTCTGAAAAATCTCATGGACGTGGAAGCCTGGAGTGCTGCTGTCCATGGGGTCTCAAAGAGTAGGACACGACTTAGTGACTGAAGATCAACAAGATTTTTCCCAATTAGAATTTTACATTGATCCTTTTATCTCCTTGAAAACATTTTCATTCCACTTCTGCCACGTCATTTTATCTTCATGGAATATATTTTATGCTTCCAAATCTTTTTTATTGATCAGACTGTGTCGTCAGGGTCCTAAGAGTTAAAATTTCTTCTGGATTGAGCTATGGCTGTTAGCAATGTACAATTTAATCATTGTATATCACAAAATCTGATAATTATTGTAAATAAAGTTTGTGTTAATGATACCTCAGTTACCAAGTCAATGGATATGAGTTTGAGCAAACTCCAGGAGATAGTGATGGACAGGGAAACCTGGCATGCCACAGTCCATTGGGTTGCAAAGAGCTGGACATTACTGAGCAACTGAACAACAACAGTTAAAGGAAGTTGTCTGTAAGGCAATTATCCTTCAATAAAAAATCATTAAAAAGGAAATTAAGTTACCCTCTGTGTGCTAAAGTTATTATACCTTTCCTACCTGAGTGCAGAATGGTATGGAAGATGATGGGAGGGGCAAGTGAATGGGACGTTGTGAAATGCAAGGTGTTCTGGACTCCTGGAATCTTCTCAGGCAGATCAAATGGACAGATATCATTCACTCAATAAATCTAGTTAAATGAACAGTCAGTAGCAAAGTGTTTACATGAATACACTAAGATGACATATGAAATGAAATGCTACAAAGCAGTTAAAAAAGTAGACCCAAATGTATCATCATAGATCTGCATGTTAGTTGAAAAAAGCAAGTTGCTGGATAATGCATGCTCAGTAGAGTCTGACTCTTTGCAACGCTATGGACTGTAGCCTGCCAGGCTCCTCTCTCTGTGGGGTTTTTCAGACAAGCATACTGGAATGAGTTGCCATTTCCTCCTCCAGGGGATCTTCTGGACCCACAGATTGAATCCGAGTCTCCTGTGTCTCCTGCTTGTCGAGCAGATTCTTTATCACTGAGCTATCTGGGAAGACTGCTGGATAATATATGCACTATTATCCCCTTTCTGTAAAAAAAAAAACAAAAAATGGTATTTCCAGATGTAAATATCTTAAAAACTACTGACAACTGTGGTTTTCTCAGGGGAGGGCAAGTAAGATTAGATGAAGGTCAGCCGGACTTCCTGTATCATTTCAAGTTTTTGCAAAGAAATATTGATTTAGCAAGTATGTATCCAGCATTCATTCCACATCCCACTTCTTGCAGGGTGTCAGAGATAAAGAGAGAACAGATAAAGAGAGGCCATGACCTTTGCTTGTCTGGGGTGGGACGATGGGATTAATTTGTTACAGAGGCAAATAAAAATAATACAGAAAAACAAGCCAAGATGTGACTTTGGCAAGAGATAGCCAGAAGGTTACTTGACCTTAGTGATAAGGAGGGGAGGGAAGGGTGAAGGATGCCTCTCCAGTTTCAGGCTTGAGAAAACCAGGTGGGGTTTGGTTTCATCCTTGAAGGGTGGAAACAGGTTCTGCGGGGCATGGAACTTCCTCAGTTGGGACAATGGAG